ATGGATCAGGGAGTTATTCGAGCATTCAAAGCTTATTACAGACGCAGTCTGGTCAAGCATATTATCGCCAGTGCTGGTGTAGCTGCTACAGCTGATGATATTAATGTTACTGCTTTAGATGCAGTTTATTGGATTCAAAATGCATGGGATGCAGTAACTGAAACAACAATAAGAAACACATTTAAAGCAGCTGGTTTTCAAATGCGTGCTGTACTCGGTGACATGGTACAAGGAATTTTAATTACAAATGAAATTATTTCTACAGATGATAAATCAATTGAAGAATTAGATCGTGTATTAAAACACTTAACAATTGGTGGAAAATCAATAACTGGTTATGATTATGTGGTAAGATGTAAGAGATATTTTGAAGAATATTTTTCTGATTTTTCACTATTTCAGAATATTGATGATAATGCACCATCGTTTAACGAATGGTATGATTTAACTGATAAATTATTATTAATAAATGGAATTGCAAATGATGATGGAGATAATAATGAAGATCAACAAAATGATGATTTACCAAGTGAAGATCCACCATCATTATCTGAATGTTTACACCTGGTTCGACGTCTTCGTCTCTTTTCGACAATACAACAACCAGAATTACATTCTTTTATTATTCAATTACAATCAAAATTAACTGATGCACTACTCGACTCTAATTTATCGAAACAAAAATCAATTACAGATTATTTCAAATGTTCATCTATTCAAGTTCATAAAAGTCTTATGAAATAATTTTTTTTGTATTATAAATAGCTGAAACAAATTTTATATTAATAAACTATAATAGTTCATTAAAAATGAACGAATAAATATTATTTAATTCAAAAAATTTCTATATTTTTACAGACCCCCTCCTATGTGATCACCTCGTTAATCTGAACGGTTTGTCAAGGTACCGACAGTGTTCAGATTAGAGAGGTTTTACTGTATTTTCTTTTATCAATATTACGATCGTTTTCCATGGTGGGCAGATATTATCCTATCTTAAATATTATTCGAAAAATTATTGATCTTTTTTGTTTTCGTTGTTGCTTTGTTATTTTATAGTATCGATGTCATGCTCAACGGTGGATATATATAGAAAAAGATTGACTATCTATTAACTATTGAGGTCGGAAAAGTAAACAACTTTTATGAATTCAAGGCACGATCACTAGTCGTCATCATGACTAGATCCCTTCGAATTATAGATTTGAGAGACTTTAACCTGTTACTATAAATAAATAAAAAATGATGATCATAGAACATTTCTATTTAAATAGAAAATAAAATTGAATTGAAATATTCTTTCTAGAATCAAATAATAAAACAAAACGAGAATATATTTGTTTATTTCTATGAAATATATCTTCAATATCCATGGTTATCAACATGTTCATTATTCGACAACTAGATTTATTAGATTCGTTTGGTTTTTTTTTTAAATATTTTCATTTTTAGTTAGCCTTGAACAAAATAATAAAAATTCAAATTATCTAATCGATATCAATTAAAAGTTTCAATGAAAAAAGATCTACAATGGTAGGAATATTTTATTACCGATCTTTAAATGGTTTTTTTTTTCAATAATTAATTTCTCTGATGAATCAATTCAATTAGCAGATAATCCATTAACAATGACAAAACTCATTTATTAAATGATCCACAAGTTAATAGAAATAAATCAAAGAATAGTATAAGAAATTTTATATGAATAATCGCTGGTTTTTCTTTTCTAAACAATATCTATTTAATAGGTTAGATATACTTACTCGAAAACGTTTCGATTTATTAGAAATCATCATTTCAAAGTTAATTTATCATGTATTGAAATAAAATTTCGAAAAATTTTCGCTTTGCTTTAAAGAGAATATGAAATAAACCTTCTAATCGAATATCTTCACTATCATAACTTTATTCTCAATTATCTCATCGAACAAATCCTATAGAAAAATCTTCTCAATCAACAATTCAAATTCAATATGAAACAATACAATCGGATTATGATAAAAACATAGATGAACAACCATTGAACAAGATACGAATATATCAACATTTATCAGAAAGATTTTCAAAATCTGTTTTTTACAAATCGATTTTTATTTTTAAACCTATTTTATAACAATTCAATAAAACATCAATAAGAACATCATACCATTTGATTTATTTCATAATTATTATTATCTTTTATCGAGATATTCGATTTTCAAAAATTCATTTCTTACATACATATTACAAAAACAACGGGGGGAACTCAACGTACCTACCACCTCACCACCTCTTCACCATCCATTCAACACTTTACCGCAATTCACTATGAGCATCTCCGGCACCTTCAGCACCTTAACGTAAAATTTAAAGAGCAGTGCCTAGGCGCTAAATTTTACCTTAAGGTACTGAGCAAACACTTAAGATAGTGGATAAATGGCACAAAATGTGAACTCCTATTTCTCTTCTATAGACAAGTGCTGAACGAAAACTTTTTTTACTAAAAGATAGTTTTTCTTCTCTTTCGAATCGTATATAATTTATTTTTATAACATGTTTGTAAACAGAATGGCACAACGAAAAAGAGAGCCACCATCAAAACATGTCCACACTTTTTCTGTAAAAGAACGCACAAAAAGTCGACCCTTATATCTGTTCTATAAATACGCTCTAAAAAGAAAATTTTGTCATCAGTTGATAGGAAATTTTCTCCTCTTTCGAACAGTGTATGATTTATGTTCGTCACACATTCGTGAGTGAAATTAGACAAAGAAGAAAGAGAAACACTGGTGCAATAAATTTGCAATTTTTACATGAATCAGTCAAAAACGTCTTGTGAATGGTCGTTAAGTATAATTAATTATTGTTTGACAAGCTGCTTTAATGAGTTCATAAAAGGTGAAGTAACTACAGTTTTACAAAGGCTTTTTAATGATTACAGAAAGATCAAATTAATTATTGTCTAGCAACATTTTTTTGACGAATTCATGTAAAAGTTGCAAATTTATTGCACCAGTATTTGTCTTTCTTCTTTGTCTCATTTCACTCACGAATGTGTGATGAACATAAATCATACACTGTTCGAAAGAGGAGAAAATTTCTTATCAACTGATAACAAAATTTCATTCTAAAAACATGTTTATTGAAAAGTTATCCAAGAAATATAGGCATGCGCATCTTCCGCCGTTTTTCTAAATTCCAGGAAAAGTGCGGATATGTCTTGAAGGTGGCTCTCTTTTTTGTTGTGTCATTCTGTTTACAAACATGTTATAAAAATAAATTATATACGATTTGAAAGTGGAGAAAAACTATCTTTTAGTAAAAAAACGTTTTCGTTCAGCACTTGTCTATCGAAGAGAAATAGGGGTTCACATTTTGTGCCATTACTTTTGCATTGCACATTATATATTCAGGAAAATTTAAAATTCTCCTATAGGAAAAATTAAAATTTCAATTTTTCCTAGAAAATATCCAGTTAAAATTGAAATTTTAAGTTGTCCTAGGAGAAAATAAAATTTTAATTTTTCTTAGGAAAATTTCAAATTTTCCTGAATTTTAATTTCTTCTGCGACATATATATATGTATATTTCTCTTTCGACGTTCTTGGAATCGATGTGTGCATGCAATCGAAAAGAAGATCCACGACGATCTAAATTTCATTAACTATTTTTTATTTCATTTTATTTTATCTAGAACAAACTTCTTCAGTTCGAAAACTTCTAATCAGAACGCGTTTTTTTTCTCTTATCATTAGCAGTTGTAGAGTCATACATTCACCCTTATCTTTCAAATTGATTCTTCGACCAATCAAAATAATAAAAAACTGGAAACAAATAAAATTATTTGATAAAATTCTTTGAACATTAATTACAATTCATGTTCTTCAATATTAGCAAAGATCAACTTCGTTATAGTGAAAATTTGTTAGAAAAATATCTGTACGATATCGAGTGTGATTATCAAGAACAAATAGACTCAAACTCACACACATATACACGTGAGATTATTTCAATACTCATTTTTATTACATATATTGGAAAAAAGCTTGGCGACGGATTACAGGATTTACTGCTGTATGATTTACTGTTGTTGTAAACATTTATTTAGAAATACATTTTTTTTTCTTTACTTTTCTTTTAAGTAAATTATATGATTAAGTTAGATAAATCCAATGATCATAATAGATGTTTTTTCTATATTCTATGTCAAAGATTTATTTTTCATCTGAAAGGTTCATGAAAATAGATTGAAATCTAACTATAGTTCGTTATTAAATTCATCAAATGAAAAACAAACCTGCGGGGGAAAGGTATAAGCGCCACTTCCTTTATTCGAAAAAGGAATCTTTGAAAAATATTTAATTTTGAATCAAAATGTTGAATAATTCTAATTGCTTAAAGGTAAAATTTGAGTGTGATTATGGTTGAAAACAAAAAAAAATTACATTCACAACCAATTCTTATTAATCTTATAGATTGTTACCATTTGACTTCAGTCACATGTTAGTGGGCCTGTGTGACAGAATTATTTAGCAGATGGCACTGATATATAAGCGTATTTCGAAAAAAATTTTATTTTCCATGTCATTAATTGTCATTGGATGAAAATGATTAATCAATCGTTATAAAATAAATTATTATTGATTGATTCATTTACAATCTTTGGGTTTTTTGGGCTTTACAAGGATACTATCTTATGCATTTATTTGGTTGACACTTCTATTTCATCAATAAGTGACGTTCAAGTACTAATTATTTTCCATGCAAAATGTCAATAAGATTCATTTTATTAATGATATCGTTAATCTCGTGAAACACAATACATCTCTCAATTTTGGTCTATTAAATTATTTAATTTTAAATAAAATTTGTTATATTGATTGTTCTTGTGGTGTTTCTTTTTTCTTTTGTTACTTGATCAAGTATACAACAATTAAAGTCATTTTCTGTTTTTGAATAAGTATATTGATAACTTGGGTATCTTCTCTCTATAAATCAATCTTGAGTATCTTTAGATTCATTCTGAAATATGAATTACGTTAATATCTATGACAATAGTAAAAAGGCTGTTGTTTGTTTGATCATTGGATCAGATAATACTTAGTGGCGGAGCCAGGATTTTGAGCTGGGGGGGGGGGGGGTCAACCCCCCTCTGAGGGACCTTTGAGCCTCGGTTAGCAAATAAAATACATGGTTTAAAAATTTTCCTGGGAGGGGCTGAGCCCCCCCCCCAGCCCCACCCTGGCTCCGCCACTAATAATACTATTCCAATTGATTATTTCATTTCGACATTTCCTGGTGCTACCGGTTTATTATATAAAGATGGTGATTCGAATAAGTTTATTTCGTATGTTATTAAACAATTAAGAGAATGTTTCGAAAATTATGCTTTCAATTTTTTTAGAATACCAAAAGATCCTGCTGGAAATTTTACCTGGGAATGGAATTCAAACATAGTCTATGATTTAATCTATGCTAATCGTAAGAAAAGCAAGCCAATAGGAGATTTATTATCACATATATTGCTTTTGTTTTCCAGCATCAAGAAATCGTACATTATCATCATCATCATCATCAAATAAATCGAAATATTCTGCTTGGTTTTCTGTAGTCGGAAGTAAGTTTATTTATTAATTATGATTACAATAAGAAAGAAAATTGTCTGTTCAATGTTCGTAGATTCGAATTATTTTTTTTTTCTTTTTTCAATGATAGGTTTATTGAAATTCAAAAGTCCTGTTGATTTCGATAAAAAAACAAAACAA